AGAACTACAATGCAGTATATGCAAGTCGCGAAAAACGAGGAGGTGGTGTAGGAATTTTCATTCATGAAAATTTCAATTTTGATATAATTCAGAAAGAAGAATCCCCTATAACATATTTGGCAATTAAAATCAAATCCCCAGAAATAGTACTCTGTTGCATTTATAGACCACAAGATTTAAAAATCCGTTATTTTTTTAATTTCTTGGAAAAGTCACTTGAGACAATTAATAGAAACAAATGTGAAGAATGTTTTTACTTTGGTGATATGAACATAAATTTATTAATGAATAGCAATGAATCTAAAGATTTGATTGATATTTACAATACTAGTAGTTTCAGAAATTGTAATGAAAGTATACCTACTAGAAACTTATCACTACTTGACCATTTCATAACAAATTCTAAAAAAAATCTTGACGTTTTTATTATCAACAACTCATTGAGTGATCATAAATTTTACCTTACTTGCCTTCCTGAACCAATCTCGGAAAATAAGCATAAATATGTGACCAAATTAATAAGAACATATGACATAGAAAAATTACAAACTGAATTGGAAATGCTGAATGACAATATCGATAATTACGATAATCTTGATGAAGCATATGAGAAACTATTGAACATTTTCCATAATTGTTTGATATCAAAAATTATTAAACAGAGGTTTGACTCCAAACCATGGTTTGATCATAATGTCAGTTATTTAATCAAATTACGTGACAAATTTCATCACAAAAGAAAAATCCACCCAAATATAAATTATTTCAAAGATCAATATGATTTCTATAATAACTTGGTGAAGAAAACAATAAGGGAATCAAAAAAGAAATTTTACGATAACCATTTTTTCAATGGCACTGCGAAATCAGTTTGGAATGGTATCAATTCACTCTTATACAATAAGTCAAAAAATCAGACTGATAATATCAAATATATCAAATTGAATAATATCAAAATTGAAAGTAGTCATTTGATGAGTGATGCAATCAATAATCACTTTATCAATGTTGGTCCAAATTTATCTTCGAAAATACCTCCAATTTCTGGAACAATGAACGATTGTTCACGTGTTTTATCTATGTTCCTAACACCAACAAATATTTCAGAAATTGAAAATATAATCGATAACTTGGATGTACGAAAATCTTGTGGATTTGATTTCATAACTGTAAAAATTGTAAAAGTAATCAAATCTGAATTAACTCCCATCTTGTTGAAAATTATTTCCAAATCTTTTGAAACTGGTATTATTCCTGACAAAATGAAAATTGCTAAAGTATTGCCAATATACAAAACTGGTAAGAGAGACGATATGAATAATTACAGGCCAATATCTGTCCTCCCTATCCTTTCTAAAATTATAGAAAAAATCATGAATAATCGTCTTATTGACTTCCTTGAAAATAACAATCTATTGTACAGTGGTCAATATGGATTCCGTAGGTCAAAGGATACAGAGATAGCTGTAATGGATGTAATTTCGGATATACAGTCACGGATTGATGAAAATTATAAATGTGGCTTCTTGTCCTTGGACCTATGTAAGGCATTTGACACAGTAGATCATACAATTTTACTAAATAAATTATATTCAATCGGCGTCAGAGGAAGAATTCATGATTGGTTCACACATTATTTGACAAATAGAAAGCAGTATGTTGAAGTGAATGATATTTCTGGCTCACTAAAGAATATTACATGTGGAGTACCGCAAGGATCAGTTCTGGGACCAATTTTATTTTTAATTTATATCAATTCAATATCAACTCTGAAATTGAAAGGGAAGCTAAAATTATTTGCGGATGATACAACATTGATTTATATATCCAAAGAATTAAATGATATTGAACGGGATATTACAAGTGATTTGGAAAACATATCATCTTGGATGCAAATTCATAAGTTGACTCTTAATTATAACAAATCTTCATATATGTATATTTCTAAAAGATCAGTTAATATTTCGAATAATGCTATAACTTTCAACAATAGATTAATTAAATATACAGACGTGACAAAATTTTTAGGTCTCTATATCGACGAAAAATTATTATGGACTAAACATATAGACTATTTGAGAAATAAAATAAATCCGATCATAGGCATTTTATTCAAAATCCGAAATATTATTCCCATAAAATACTTGAAATGTATTTACTTTTGCCTCATTTATTCAAATTTGCAATATTTAATTTCTATTTGGGGGAGTACAAATATATCACGTTTGAAACCACTAATGAAATTACAAAACAAATCAATTAAGTGCATTTTTCATCTACATTTTCTAGAACCAACGATAAATTTATACAAACCAAGACATTTTCTGAACCTGATTTCGTTATATAAACTTAAAATATGTTGCTTTATTCATTTTGCCAGGAATAAGTTGAAAATATCAAATTTAGCTTTCAATGAAGTCAATACAGTCCATAATTATGGGACTAGACAATTGAATTACTTGATTGCAAATACATTCAAGTCAAACATTGGCAAACAATCTGTTTTTCACAATGGAATAATTTTATACAATTCATTACCGAATGAGTTAAAAAATATACATGATGCAAGAAGGTTCAAAATCAATCTTAAAAAATACTTGCTCAGGACAATTTGAAAGAAAAATATGTGGCATGATTTGATTACTTAGGAATGAAATATAACTTCAATCTTATGACACAATATTAATTCGTTTCCACTGAGTGGAATTCATTATAGTTAACCCTTTATTATTATTTTTTTATATGTATTTATGTATCCCTATCATAAACAGAAATGTTTCTTGGGGTAATAAAGACAATCAATCAATGTCGACAGCCAGGAATCATTAGCTATTATTTCGTGTTGGAAGGGTCTCTCTCCCTCTCAGCGAAAATGATATTCCATTATGAATTTCGAGAGTTCCTGCTTCCGTAATACGTCAGCAATAAAGCAGTTTCCAGAACATCTTTCAGAGTAGTGAATGAGGATGGTAGAAGTGTGAAGTATACTGGATCAGATAACCATTGCGTAATGAGATCGGAATATTAGTTTCGTCTCCCTATGTAGGATGATATATTACGCGAGAGTAAAAAAAACGTGTATGAGTCTACCATTTCAGCAAGAGCCTCCAACATTTCTGAATAATCCGAGTGAATGTTTGATGTTCATTTTCATTGGAATTCTTTTTTATGTTCAATTATCCTTACTCCCTGAAAAATTCACTGTGGAGGCATTCACAGGTTCGGCCAGAAATCTTTACCGTTCGGAAAACGCAATGAAAATTTCCTGAACCTGAAGAAACATCATTGGAATAGCGAATCACCATCGGCCTCAACAGCCACCGTGCCTCGACAGTACATTATACAGGAAAGAAGGAAAATGTAACATAAAGAAGAAAAAAAAAAGGTAGGTTGAGTAGGGATTTGAACCCGTGATCTCTCCTTCTAAACGTAGTTCTTGCACAAATATGTACGAAACATATTCATCCATGGTCACCCCAAGCAGTCAGCATTATGCACATGCGGAAGTCTCACAGCAGAGTGAAATCCGTTTTGCTAGCCGCTTGACATACAAGGTGTTATGAATTTTGTTGGTGCAAGATAATGCCAGGCCTCACGTCAACCGAGTTGTGCTCGGAGCACGGATTTGAAACTCATTCAGTGTAGGTATAGATGGAAAACCCAAAGTCATCTCCACAACATTTATTAGAATAATCAAATATCTCGTGTGTTCTACCTACTTTCTATAGTGGCCGTAGGTAGAGTAGATTTTCGAACGAAGAAAACCCGAATTTTTGCGAAGCAGCTTTCGCGATGGATCAGACATGATTCTTCTATGAAAGAGTATTGCTGATGGAAATACCGAGCATTGGTCTTGGTGGGAATGGAAGAACCAGACATTGATATGTTAGGCATACTGAGTTCCGCCTTTCTACGAAAATACAGACTTGAGTTTTGATCGTATTGAATTCAACTAGGTTGTTGGTTGCTCCGGCAGTAATGAATGATATAGCCCAAAGAACTCGATTCGTATGCCAAAATGATTGTGAAAAACTATTTTGATCCTTAGTTAACTAATAAGAAATGGGTTAAACTGCATTTATCATGCGATTGTTTTTTTTTTTCGAAAATTTTTTGGTACCTACATATTTTTGTCGGAAAAACACGAATTCGATAATGAGAATGTGAACAACCCACTATTTATCGAGATATATCAAGAAAGAGTTCGAAATTTTGCCTTCTTTTTCCACTTGTGTTGGATGCATTTACAGCTACTTGTTTCTTTTATTTTGTCATTAAACACTTTATTTACTCATGATATACTTCAATTACACATTTTTGTATAGAAAATTCAACAGAAAATATTTTTATGGCGATTTTTTCATATTGATTAGTGAACAAGCCTACCAGATGACGGCCATTCAATCAATAGTCAATCCATGGTCAATCCAAATAGGAGATGTCAAATGTCAACAGGTTTTAACAGATTGCTTCTGAATGACATTCCCACACCATAATTTCGAATGATATTCTCCCTTCTTTTCACTAAGTATGGATAAATCACAAGAAAATCATATTTCTAGTTGGCTCATATAATAGAAAAAAATGTGTCGTACACGATGAAAAAAAGAAGGGCAAATTGTTCTAAATGCGATCCAGAAGACTGGAAGAAAGGGAGGTGAAATTTGTAACTTCATAGTGAATAACGGTTTGTTCACATTTTCATCATCAAATTCGTGTTTTACAGACAAAAATACGTACTTAAGTAACGAAAAGAGTTTTCGAAAACAAAAAAACATCGCATGATAAATGCAGTTTTACCGAGAAAAGTAAGGTTTTTTTACCTCCAGGGTCATCTGACTGAACTGAATAGTGATAATAATAATAATAATAATAATAATGTTATCAGGGTGAATGTATGATTTATTGAAATGATGATTATCATCAAACGAATAGCTGTGAAGGAGCTGAAGGATGTACATATTGATATATACCTAGCTATTTATTTAGAGATGCCTTACTTTAACATGAATCGAACACATTTTTAGATCTGATCCTCTCAAACTCCTTCTCAATGTCGTAGTTTTCGTAGAAGTTCCGGTATATCCTCTTCTTCCTCTCCATGTAGAACTGATGAAACATCAATCCTGCTAGACCGGCACTCAGCAGAGCTTTGGCTACCATTGACTTCGCAGCTTTCGTTGCCAAGCCGTGCATCTGGGGTTTCTTTAGTTTTCCACAATCGACTTCAGTAGGCATCTTGGCAAGTTGAAGATGGAGATAGTGATGCTTTAGAGTGACGACGTTGAAGAATTGATTAAAAACGGATTGTTTGTCAAGAGTGACAGATGGTTTCCATGTCGATACGGAAGATAACATTGAGATGTATATAATTCCTCTGGTGTGTCCACTCTTCGAATGTTTCGTCAGTCTAGCTCTGGATATGAACAATTGAATGCGAGCTCGGCGTGAACGATAGACAATTTTTTGAAAAATTTCAAAATGCGTTTTTAATCTTATTATGAACTAGACTTTCAATACTGTCTGTAGGTTAATCGAGGAGGTGGCATATTCATTATTCCAAATTTTTTGGGATTTTCTCTCCTCGTTTCTATAAAATAAAAATATGAATATTATTTCAATATACGTGTAGTAAGGACAAATCAGATGATTTGCCCCAAAATGTCACTGCGTTTAAAGAATTTTCCTATCAGAGAGCCTAAAAGAAAAATTCACTAGCTTGTCAGTGACAATTTGTATTGAAAAATTTTTGGAGAAGAGAAATAAAGGTATATAGAAAAAATTCCCAGATGAAACATATTTATCAAGAACATTGTTGAATCTTTTCATGATCATTCTGCACTTGAGTGCTTTTCAGAACCCATAGAGATAGTTCATAAATTCTTCGATATTCTTTCCATAGAAATATATCATGTGATATGATCATTCAAACGAATAGATAACTATATGAATGGAGTATGAATGTTTTTTTCTGAACCATTGTCTGCAGAAATTGCAGGTGCACATCTCCATCTCAATTCCATAACTTCCAATGCGAATATCTCGCAAAATGATTAACTTGTTATACATTATCAGAAAGAGAAAAGACCAGTCTTCCTGAATGTGCAAAAATATACAGGGTGATTCAATGAAATAAAAAAGTTGCCCTATATCTGAATAATGGCTAGTTTGTTTCCGGTAGAATCGGAATTTCAAGAGAGAAGGTGAACCTGTCGAAAACAACTTGAAAAATATCAAAATAGACTAGTCCAAACTGCACAACGATAACTTGAATGGTTTCAGAGATATAAGCATTTGAAATGGGTCAGAATATAACTGGTCACCCGGTACCTATTTCCTAGTCTTTTTTTTTGGATGCACAAATTCAATGCCGAAAGCTCTGTTCCAGTCGTTTTTCTGTCATCTTGTTCTTGAAATATGAGACAATAGCGTAAAGATTGAAGTCTCCCTAATGGCCGCGGTCGCACTCTTCAGCTGTTCTATTGAGTAATGAGATCATTAATTAGCCGTCATATATAAGGACCATCAGGAACTCGATTGACGTTCTATCGTTAAGCTCCTTTGTCGATAGGAAATTGTTGTCAAATTTTGGTTTTGTTTGGTTATAGCCCTAGCAAAATTGCATTCTCCTTCTGACAATGAAAAAACACGTAGCTATGGGTTTGTCTGAAGGTGATTAGAGATAACAAGGTCAGATTTTCTTGTATGGGTTCAGCAATCAAAAGTTATAATAATGACTGCCATGATGAAGTACAAAACATTTCATTAACAGCCCTATTGGGGAATATATCGTCCAAGATAACATTGTTTCCGATTTTCAATTATTTAACGACTTTTTGGAAGATTACTGTGGTGTTGGTTTTAGGATTGAGGTCTTAGATTCAAGAAAACTATTTTTCTTGGAAGCTAACGTTTCGTCAATCTATTTTGACATCTTCTGGGCACTGTGAGATGGAAGGGACGTTACAAATTTATAGATAGAAATATGGAAAATACATATACTCGAAACAATTCCTTATTTTTTTGTGGTTTTTATTATAATTTTTTCCGAAACAACTACTACTACTACTACTGAACTACTACTGAATATGATTGATTATAGGGTTACATAGAAAGTGAAATGATATTTCCACTTACATAAGAATAGTTTTGCGTAATGAAGGAATGGTGATGATCCATAACAGGTTCCTGTTTTGACAGATTTACGTATGGAAATGAGCTTCAAAGAACAAATGCAACACTCGCTATCAAGAAATATCGTTTTTTTATGTGTTCCAGAGCCTCGTTGTTCGTTGGATGAACGAGTCTTTCGGAAGAGATGTTCTGCAGGTCTCCAAAGTGACCACGAAGGGGTGCGAAGCCTCAACTCGACGGGTTAATCTCGCGGGGACTGCCAAGAGAGGAAAAAAGAGCCAGGTCGCCAACTTTTCTACGGTGTTCCAGAGAAGTGAGTGAGTTTGTGAGCGAGGCATCACCCACGAGACGAATTGCTTTTTTCTGGATAGAATCCAACAGTTTCAGGGTATGTTTGGGTGCTGCACTCCAAATATGGGAACAATAGTATGCCAGGACAGGTCGGATCTGTGCCATATAGATCATAAGCAGCTGACTGGTAGTGAAATAGCTCCTGGCCCGAAACAGAAAACCAAATTTTTGGGATGCACTTTCAGCAATTGATCTCACGTGATTTTCCCAAGAAAGGTTTGTTCTAATTTTCCTTAGTCAGGTAATTCCAATATTTTACGAATATAATTCGATATTCTGGCGTACTTGTTCCCTATTAGATTTCCGAAAATCATAAGGGTTGAAATGGTACGGACATCTACATAGAAGAGAACTGGATAGGATGATAAAGAAAGTGTGGGAATGGAAACCACGAATGAGCAGACCAATAGGGAGGCCAAAATCAAGAAGGGATGACGAGATATTGAAGGATATAAGAACCATGAGGATAGGCAATTAGAGAGAAAAGATAAAAGTGAGAAAGGACTGGCACTCAATAACCAGAGAGGCAATGCGGCACAACAGCAAGTGACGAAGTACAGAAAAAAAGAGACCAATAGAGTGAATGACTGCAAGAAATAAATCTAAAGAGCTATCCTATCCCTTCCCATATATTTAAACAATGATTTTCTCATTTCTCCATATAATTTCAACTAATCCTCCTTCTCATCTACATCTACTACTACATTTTGAGCCTTATGCATATCCATGAATTCCTGACAAATATCAGAGTGTTCAACTTCGCAGCTCATGTGTATTTCTAGGTCTTCAATGAACGTATGAAACTTTTCTAGCTATTAAATAATCATATTCCGCTGGAGCAACCTCAGATCGATTATAGATTCGTTCTTATTCAATTCGAAATCAAGAATAATTGCTTCGATAGAGGTAAACTAATCAAAGGCTTCTGTGTTGGCTCATGAAGCAGTCAAAAGCTTTATATCGAAATTATGTTTAATCGATATGATTGCAGTTTGCTGCAGTTTGCTTTATGATATTGTTCAAAGAGAGGATATAGAGTGTTCTCCCAGATGTGTCATGAATATTCAACAAAACGGTGTGTGTCAATCGCTCGACATAATGGAATTTGATAATAGGGTTATCAATTATATTTCAAGCTATTTTCGATTTGAATATGGCAACGAAATCATTGGACAGGGTGTCATTCAATTGTTCTTCATGTTAGACTTTTGACAATTAGATCGAGGATATAACTCTTCATAACCCACATATTTTCCAGATATTTGAAGAGTTCAATGTTGATGGATTTTTCCATCATTTTGAAGATTACTGATAACAGGGGCAATTGGCCTGTTGTTGTTGTTGTTGTTGTTGTTGTTGGAAAGGCGCTTGTTTCCCTTTTGGGGATTGATTAGACTCTATTTTCCATCAAGATGGAAACATACCCGATTCGTAGGATTTTGTGAATAGCTTGCACAGAATCGGTGTCAATTCTGGTGTATTGCTATAGTGGTGAAAAAATCGGCTGAAGCCTCAGGATATAATCTTAGTTCTTGGATAGTAATGATATTTTTTTCTAACAATTAATCAGAAGTTGCAAGGTAGTTTTGAATGGAAACTCTTCTTCAATCGTATAGTTTCGTCGCTGTATGTATATACCTAATAATTTTGTGTCATTCCTGGAACCCCTTTTTAAGTATCAAAAATAACGATCGAGTAATTAAAAACAATGTCCCACTGTATAAATAATCTGGATTCCCTAATTATCAATCTGGCATTCTCGCGTTTGATGAGTCGGAAAACTTTTTCGATTTTACATTCTTTGTTCGCTAAACTTTATGGATTGGAACGGGAGCCGAGAAATTTTAATTTTCTTTTAATTATGATCCAGTCTGAAAAGCTTTCAGATCCTTTCAAGATATCTCTGTCTGTCTTCAACTCGGATGAATTATGTACCCAATGTCGATAAACAATTTGGACATCGTAGTCTACTATAATAATTTTCTGATTGGCTGAGACTTTTACTTAGATGACTGAAATTCGAAGTTTCTCTCAGGTTTTTGGAAACATCGAGAAATACTTCTTTTTCTACAATTTCTGATGCAATGAAGTAGTCTCAAAGCAACTAGAAACACATTTTCCAATCGTGGTTTCCTGATGTAACATTCTTTTTGTGCTAGTTTGTCAATAATTTGGAGTATCTTTCTATTTTCATAATATCATGGAATTATATTCAAATGCTTGACAATTATTCACTATAAAGGTATACTGAATGCTGGTATTCCTTGTCTGAGATTTGTTTCATTTTGATACAATGATTTATGAATTTTTCTTAAAGATGAAAATGGTTCTGGATGGTGCCTGAAAAGTCATCAGGAGTTCGGATCTCCTCCTGCAAATGGTTGAAACCCATGAAGAGGCAGGAGTAGGAGCTTTTTTTAGGACAGCACGTCGAGCAGTCGATGAATTGTTTCTGATTTTTGACTCCGAATCGAGGTTCAGGACTCAGTTCCTGAGCTAGAGCCTGGTCGGAGAAAGGCCCACATCAATGCTGCAGAAGTGAGAAAGCTCTTACAGCTTCACATGGATGAGCCCATGCATTTGGTCTACTTCAAGACCAATGACGACCTGGGCTTATCCAAAGAACTGACTTTCGCTTTTCTCAAGTCAGGCGGGCTCAAATCGGAAACAGAGGGGTTCATCATGGCATCCCAGTATGGGGTATTTAACACTTTCGTCGACTGTTACTGTGTCATGGGTATGGAGGTCCCTGATACAAATTGCAGGGCCTGCTATGCTCCGGGGGATATTGAGTCCGTTGTGGAGAATGAGAGATGCCGAATTCATTGGAACTTCTCACACGCTAAC